TTAATTTATAAAGACTTTAAAATCCTCAAAGAGAAAGGAAATGCCTGCAGCACCTTCACATCCCAGTTCTCTCTCATTTTTTTAAGCCACCATATTAAGTAGATATTTGAAATTTATCGATACCTATTAGCATCCCACTTGTTAAACAGATATAACTCCTAAATTATTGCCAACTCTAAAATTCCAGTATCCATGCATAAAATCCTGGGGCGTCAACAGCTTGGGATGCAGTGGCCAGCCAATCCTCAAAATTTGAGGCAAGCTTGACTGACCTTCGGAATGGAACTGAATTAATTATGTGAATTTAGGATTAATAGAGAAGAATCCCAAAGATTCTCTACCCATCTTCTATAGCACAAAGATGCCTAAAATTCATTGAACAATAAACAAAATATTCCTTTCATAACCCTTTCATAATAAATCATGAAAACCACAGATCTTCAGTACAGCAACTTCTATTCCTTTTACACAAGAGGAAACTGAGACACGGCAAGGACGAGTTACAAATACAATGGATCTGGGATCTTAATCCAGGTAGTGTGTCTCGTGAATATCTACTTTTAAATTACTATGTAAGAATAAGGGACAAAGACTGACAGAGAGATTTTATTGTAGGGCTTTTTTTTCTTTTTTAAGGGTGCTATATTTTGGATCTTGAATGTCCCACAAAGGCCCATGTGTTAGAGGCTGGGTCTACAGTGTGGTACCCATGGGAGGTGGTGGAATCTTGAGGAAGTGGGACCTTATTGGAAGGTCATTAGGTCATTGATGGAGGGTACTCAATGGGATGTGGGACCCTGGCCTAATCCCCTGCTTTACCTTAGCTCATGGTATGAGAGGTTCTGTTCCACTCATGATCCTGCCATGATGTGCTGCCTCGCCATAGGGCCCAAGGATGGGGTTCACTGATCACAAACTAGAACCTCCAAAACTGCAAGCCAAAAATAAACCTTTTCTCTTTATAATTTAATCATCTCACTTTTTTCTTTTTAAATGACGGAAAGATGACAAACCCAGGGGAGACTCAAATTGCTGAAAGAAGGAGTAGCAATCCCCTGAAGGAGGAAAAGGCACAGTAAGGGACAAAAGTTTCCAAGTAAACACCACATTGACTTCACAGTTGTGTCAAGAGGCTATGATGGATATGAGATCTTCTCAGATCACTATGGAAGACATTTTATTCTCCCACTCCTCCTCTCCAGGACTTTTTTATCAAGGCAGAGTATCGTTTACTTCAGACGTTTTCCTCCATCATCTCTGAGCCAGCACTTTGCTTAAACCTGTACTTTAGGCTCGATGACATCCTTTCCTGATAATTAATTTATTTTTCAGTAACATAATCCATTGTTAAAAGTGCCAAATGAATATACTATAATCAATTTTTATAAATTTTCTGCTACCTCTGTTAAAGAGTGTAGCTCCCACTAATGAACATTTATTATAGTCTGCTATCCTCACACATGTAAATTTTAAGTGCTACCCAAATGTCCTATTTTTTTTTCTTAAGGTAAATGTCAGGTTGTTGACAAATGCTTTATTTCAAATAAGCTTTTCATGGAATTAAATAATACTCTATTTCCTCTTCAACAAACAAGAGCTATTTCAAACGGGATTTTAATGAACAGCATATCTTTCCTAAGTGGCTTACAGATCTGGGAGCTGAATAAATTAACATTATAAACTCACAAGGCTACATACCCTATGATTCAAGAGCCTTCTTTCTTAGAAAACAGAGAGGAGGATAATCAGAAAAGACACCAGGAGTCAACTCCATATTTGGCAGGTGTTCAATTCTAGTAAATATCAACACAAATCCTGTTGGTCACAAGTCCTGATATGAGCCAATGTTGATGATAAGCTTATTACACTTTATTGATAATGTGTTCTGTAACAAGATGATATGACCAGAAATATAAAGATATACAGAGGCTTCTTAACATACAATGGGGTTATATCCCAATAAATCCATCGTAAGTTGAAAATAAATTTAATATACCTAACCTACCAAACATCACAGCTTAAGTGTACAGAACTATAGACCATCTCTTTTTTATCTTCCTGATCATGTACCCAGCAGCATGAGAGTATTATAATGCATATTGCTATCTGGCAAAGAGATCAAAATTCAGAATTCAAGGTGCAGTTTCTACTAAATGCATGTCATTTTTGCATCAGCATAAAATTAAAAACCCATTAAGTTAAGCTATGGTAACTTGGGAACCCACTGTACTATTAACCGTCCCACTTACCTTATCTATTTCAGGTTGACTTTCCAGTGAGTGGTCCATTGGATAGAGAGGGATAAATGTGATACCAAGCCTGGGAACCATATGTCTCTATGGGTCAACTTCTTGTCTTCCAAAATTACATTGGGCTGAAATCATACTCAAATCACTTTGAATATTTTGAAATGCATACAAAAAGTTATTGTTGCTGTGATTATCTCCTCTGATTACTGGGACATACATCCTACTAATTCTAAATCAGCAGTATTATGGATATATGACCAAAGCATCATTTCTTATTCATGCATTCATTCAACATTATGTGATTGATGTAAGTCACTATTCTTAGGCATATACAGCAGTCATTTGAATAAATTTTCTCCTTTAATCAGTTCTATATTCTAGAAGGAGGAGACAGCCAGCAATTATTTTATGCACAAAGGATGGAACTTCAGAGGAAAACAAAAGAGGGTCACAAGGAAGAGTTGGAAGTAACTGACCCTTTAAGTAGGGTTACCAGTGAGGCTTCTCTAAGGCTCTAGCAATCTGAGGCCTAATGGTGAAATGGTCTATCACACCACAGAGCAGAGGGTTTCAAGCTTAAGAAACTGCAAGTTCAAAAACAGAATTGGAGAAGCTCAGCCTGTACTCTGAGCATTGAGGACAGTGAAGGTAACACAGGATGGGAGAAGGAAAGATCCACTGGAAATATCTTCCTTGCTGTGTAGAAATTACAGTATATTCATTTGGCACTTTTAAAAATGAATTATGTTAATGAAAAATAAACATAGAAAATCTTGGAAAACTTTACAAACAAAAGTAATATGATTTGGTACACATTTAACAATGGATTATGTTATTGAAAAATAAACACAGGAAGTCTTGGAAAACTTTACAGACAAAAGTGATCTGGTTTGGTACACGTTTTAAGAACATCCCTTTGGGGTTTGGAAGATGGAGACAAGAGTGGCAATTGAAAGGTCAGGACACTTTTACATAGTAATAGTGAAAGATGATGTTGACTTCATCAGGACAATAAATATGCTGAGAAAAAAATCAGATTTAGGGAGTCATTTAAGACAGCATCAATAAGACTTTTTGATGGATCATGTGTGCTGTGTTAGAGAAATTGCATTTTACAACAGTGACACCGACGTAAGGCTATATGCACTCAGTGGGTTTGTCACTGAGCTACTTCCACCCTGAAAACACAAACTTCTAGCAAGAAAAACATTACATAACCATGAATGTAATAGGAATGTGGTGTCGTGAATTTTCTTTTTCTTTTGTATTGCTAAGACTTAAGGAAAATTGCACTTTCGGATCTCTAAATGACTGAACGTAGCTTAATGTCTTTAAATCGTTGCTTTCAAACTCTTCTAAAATCAAATTTACTAAAAGATTTCATCTATCTTTCTCCTACAGAATTAAATAAAAATGCAAAACTTCTTGAACATATGTGATAACATATTGGATTCTCAATGTCTAATTCTTCACTGGTTACATCATAAAAGCTAATCTCTAGATTCTTATCAATTAAAATGTTCTCGTTATTTTCTCTTGAGGTTTTTATTCCAGCAGTTGAATTCCTATTCTTCTTTGTACATATAGCTTATGACTGTTAAAAATGGATTTTAAGGTTGGCCATTTTCACTGAAACATTTGATTTACATCAGGATATGAGAAGGTCACAGCTTGTCAAACAAGCCAACTACTGTTAATATTTTATTGATTCTAGTGAAAATCATTTTCAACTTGCTAAGCAAATACTGTTTTTCTTAAATAGGATTCAGACATATCTACTGAGTAAAAGTGCCATTGTCCTGGTTGGTCTCCAGCAGAATTAATTTTACTTCATTGCGCTTTGGTATGTGGCCATCAATCCTCATTGAATATGATTATGAGGGACAGTTCCTTGAAAATCCTAGTTATATTCATTTTCAGGATTTCTAAGGGAGGTTTGTTTAGGAGATCAAAAGCAGTCATTTTTCAATAAAGTACTCCCTGGGAGATGTTCATATCTAAGCAAAATATTAAAATTTATAGGCAATTGTTATTTTCCAAAATAATGTTTTTTTTCCTTATGACTAGTATGAATTGTGTGACTCTAATATACTCTCTTCATAAGCTGTTAAAACAATTTCAAGATATTTTAGGTTATGAAGTGTTAGGGTCTGTAAACAGGTCAAGATGGCGCCTGGCATTTTGCCAGAGGGAGTGGTTTGTGAAGTAATGCCAGCGAGCCATTAAGTGTGGAGATTCCTTATTGGTTGACTGCTGTATCTAGTTTATGTTAATTAAGATAAGCTATGTGGAATGTATATATACCCCTCCTGTCCTACAATAAACCGCTCCCACTCCTGCTGTATCAATGTACACAAGTTCTTCGTCCCCCCCCGGTTAGTTTGCCCAGCCAGCCGGACTGCGGTAATGAAGATAACACTTAAATAAATCATTATAATCACCCCACTCAGGTTTTATACATTTTTTGTTATGTTCATTTTATGCATCCTTTTAAACTTCTCGGAAAATAAAAAGGTAAGATTGGGCAAACTATTTGTCCTCTCTTGACCTAGTTTTCTAATTCTAAAACTTGCAAGTTGGATTATAAAACCTCCATAATTCTTTCCTTCTGCAATTGTGAATATTTAGATAGATGAAATATGTACTTTAGGGGGCGAGCTTCTGCTGCGCCCTCGGCCGCCAATGGGAAATGCTATGGGAGGCTAAAGTAGCCAGAACAATGGTGGGAGCACATGGGAAAGCTGGGGCGAGATGTCCATCACTGCCCTCCCGGATCTTGTTAAGCACCTGAGGGTGTCTCTGTTGATGAGGCTGGCCTCGAACTTTGATCCTCCTGCCTCAGCCTCCCAATTCTTGGGATTACAGGATATTTTATTTTCTTAGAGCAAAGAAAATGTTAAAGAGTATCTGCAGACACACTGGGAAGAAGAGGAGTGCCAATAGGATGTCAGTCTTTTGAGATAACAGGCTGAAGAAGATGCCCACCTGGATGGGGCTATTCCAATCCCTGCAGCATCTGGAAATGGGGTAGATGAACTACAACAGATAATCCAGGCCGTCCTAGAGAATGTGTGCTGGCAGATGTCTCTGGATTTAAAGACCACAGCACTCAAACAACTGCAGGGCCACATGTGGAGGGCAGCATCCACAGCTGGACACATGAAAGCAGAGTTCTTTGAAGATGAAGTTCCAGCAGACAGGAAGTGGAGAGAAGATGGAATGAAGGTGTATATCTATTCTTCTGGAAGTGTAGAGGCTCAGAAACTATTATTTGGGCAGTCTACAGAGGGAAATATTCTTGAGCTTTTTGATGATCACTTTGATACCAAAGTTGGACACAAAGTGGAGAGTGAGTGTTACAAAAAGATTGCAAACAGCATTGGATGCTCAACCAACAACATCTTGTTTCTAACAGATGTTACTTTAGAGGCCAGTGCTGCTGAGGAAGCAGGTGTGCATGTAGCTGTGGTGGTGAGACCTGGAAATGCAGGATTGACAGCTGATGAGAAAACTTTCTACAGCCTCATCACATCCTTCAGCGAACTACACCTGCCTTCCTCAGCATAGAGGAAGACTTCCACAGAAGACCAAACTGTTCCTCAGAGTTGTCCCCCTAGTGTCTAGTTTTATTCTAATGGCAAAGTAATACGTACATATGTATGCAAGTATATGTATGTACATGCTCATTAATTTTCATGGGCACATAAGTGAGGAAAAAAAGTCTTAAGTCCAGTGAAGAAACTTATTTAAAGATGCTGTATATGTAGAAATAGTTTGAGACCCTAACACTGACCCACATTGAGGGCAAAGTGTAGTTGATAGAAGAATACAGATCAAATGTGCTATGATTATCAATTCCCATAAAAAAATGAGAACTTAGTTTTGAAAATTATTCAGAGGCCTATTACTTTAAATACTGAAAATACTTCAGAGACTTTTTTTTTAAAAAAATTTATTATTATTATTATTAGTTCAGAGACATTCTTAACAACTCATTGCCCTTGTTTAATGGCGAGTTAGAAGAGTTACAATAGCTGTATATCACATTTACCTCCCTTGGTACAAAAGATAAAGATATTTGTTTCTGCTCCAAAAGAGCAAAATAAAGAAAGAAAATTCACCCGAGTCTTGATCAGTCAAGTATTTGTTACTGAAGAAGAAACTTACTAATCATGTGGCACCCATAGCTGGCACTTGCCTTATCAATAAAAAACATATGCAGATATAACAGCTAAAAAGGAAATGTGATTCTTAATGTCCAACAAAATGATTCTAATTCTGCTGGTTTTACCAGTTGCCTTTCTAATTTAATCTTCACACAGTTTAAGAATATATATTAATTGCTACTTACTATTTTTTAAAATAAAGTTTTGCTGAAATTAGTGCATAATACCCAGAAGAGTCCTAATATGTAATATTTCCCCTTTGAATGTGAGAAATGTAAATTTTATAACAGCATTATTTATCCTGGTTCAATTCTAATAGGATTCCATGTCAGTTTTATGTTGTAATTAATAAAAGCATTCTCTTCTTACAAAAAAAAAAAAACAAGAAAGAAATATGTACTTTAGGTTTAGAGTTGGGAAAGTGTTTTACTGCCCCACATATTCCAATACAAAAGCAGCTGCCTATTCCACCCACATGTAACACCAGATTTGTCTTTAGGAAATGAAAAATCCAGTTCCCGGCCTAGGCTATAAAGCTACAGAGTCATACTCAATTAGAATTGTATTCTTCAAGCAATATCTTTGAGTTCTTGAAACTTATAAGATTATTTTAGATGGCTATAACTTTCACAGTGTGTAATCTACACCTAAATAATTTGGCTTACCAATTGAACAACAACAACAACAACAACAAAAATAGACAAAGAGAAAATATGCTTTGGCATCAATCATAAATTTTAGGGAAGTATTTTATTTTGGCCTGAACTGTAGTCATCTGCTTCTATTCTATACTTGATGAGTCCAGAAAATCATAAAGTAAAATTGTACCCAAACCAGTTATTAACTCTCATCATGCCAACCTATGACATAAACAAAAATGAATAAACATGGGTTGTAAATGGACAAAAAAAAATGGAAAGAAATATCAATCTGTGAATCCACCACAACCTGTAAAATAACACAGCATTTTTAAAAGTTACTTTACTCCATGTCTATGCCCAAAGCTCACTTTGTGGCCGGCTCCAAGTACCGACTGTATTTTATCACCACATCTCTCCCATTTGGTGTTCTTACAGCGATTTGCAGACTGAAAAATGTTGGGATGACTACTTTTGAGTAGCTCTGCAGGTAGAGTGAGAACTGAGAATCTACAGGTCATAGTTTCAAGGAGTGTACCTTTCACTCAGTAGTCTTTTCTGGAGAATAACTGTTGTTCTACACATTCCCAAGCTTTTGCCCTGCATCTAATGTGAGGAGAAACTAAAATTTTATGCTTGAGATTTCTTCCCAGCATGAGAACTCTGCCATTAAACCAAATCTCCTTTTGTGTGCTTTTGTCCTTGTCCTTACTTCCTTCCAAGGAAGATGTTCACTTAAAGCAAATACCACAGTGACTAGTAAGAAGATAACAATGATTATTTTACATGGGTATCAATAAAATAAACGTATTTAAAATTCTGCTCTTGCACCGTATTCTTTACCATCTTTCTTGCTGATTGTTCCATACTAAAGTCTGATGTTTTCAATTCTTTCGCTGCAATATGCCAGATACTAGACTGGAAAACTATATAACACAGATGCCTAATCATTAACTCTACATCGATTTCTTTTAGTTGAAATTTTTTGGTTATATTTTTATTTTATATTTAGTTTATATCTTATTTATAAACTAATAGGGGATTGTTCACATGATTATTCTTGATATAGTAGGTTCATAATATCTGTAAATGTGAGTTGACTTGTGTGTGTGTGTGTGTGTGTGTATACACACATAAGCATGTGTATGTGTAAAACAACGTATTGATTTGGACTCTCAAAGTGTTTAAATTTTCAAATTGAATTGATAATAACATAAATTCCCTCCATTTCTTTATATATGAGCAATTTAGAGGAGAAAACATACTAAAAAACATAGGCTTAAGTAAACTGTATCTAGGGAAGTTGCCCTCAATTAATTCTGTTTGATACTTTAAAAATTTGCACCATGTAGTATATTCTACAAGTTATAATTGTGATTTTTTATACTACTGATAAGTATATAATAGAGTATAATTGTGAATTGAATGTCATGATTATTGTAAATAACTCAAACTAAAAAAGAAAAAACTAAACTAAACTTTCTTTGAGTTTATAAATTGTCCTCAATAATTCTGCTAGTGAAAGTGTCATCTTTAGAAGGAGAGAAGGAGGCACAGCAGAGCAAGGCAGCATCCTCTCACCTCTCCACAGCACAGAAAAGAAACAGTGAAGTAACCGGAGAGGTGGGCGACAGAGTAAATACTCCAAAATATTGGACAGCTAGAGACTTGGAGGAGTCTCAAGTTTGGTTACTAGAGTAGAAAATAAGGACAGAAATCTTTAACCCTGAACCTGGACCAGGGTGGGTCCACAGGGAGGGGTAACAACGAGAGGAGAGAGAGGAAAAGCACTTAAGCTTAGTTCCTTAATGACAGCTGGAAAGGAAAGCAGGCCAAATTAAAACACAATAGGAACAGCAAAGGAAATTAAGAACATAAAACAGTACAGCACAATCGTGGACTGAAAGATGTGCTGGGCATGGTGGCCACCTTGTAGAGTCCACAGCTAGCCAACCTCCCTAGAAGAAGTTAAATCAACACAGCTTCTCCCCGTGTTAAGATAGCAACAAATAGAACCAGAGGGAATACCTCTGCAATGGGACGTTTCAATAATCCATCTATAATGAACTAGTAGAGAGATCACTGCTAGCTAAAAGACCCAGGGGCTAATCACTCCTTGGGAGTCTCGCCCTGACTCAGGGCTCTGCACAGCCTCTGTGGGAGATCAGGCAAAGGCAGAAGTGGATGCTCAGGATTCACAGCTACTGGCGATGAGAGCTGAGAGCTCAGACACAGGTGGGCCAAGGTTATTTATCAAAGTCAGCAGAGGAGAGCAGTGCCTGGGATTCACAACCCTGGGCAGTGGGAGCTCAAACACAGACAGCCACCAGGCTGTAACACTGTAAAGAATACCCTTTGGCAGAGAGTGAGTGCAAAGCATCAGAGTAATCAGATGAACTGTCCTGAGACCTGAATCCTATCCTCCCACCCCGGATATAAACAGCCAACAGACACAACACAGCACTCTCCAAGCAGGAAGCTTCAAGCACTGGGGCTGACAAGCTAGAACTGGATAGTGATATAGCTATAGTAACCATTAAGCTAGCTTTTGTACCTCCAGCACCTCTAGGATGATCCCAAACCAGAAAGACACACTAAGAATTTTCTCCTCAGCATGGATTACTATAAAGAGCTGTAAAGTCGATTCTGATCATACATATATTACTCTTCATTTTGACTTAATAGTTGTTTCTCTTGTATTTAGTATTGTGCCCTCCTCCCATCTGGTTGTATTTCTTCTAATGTTTTAAAGCATTAATTGGAATCATTCTATCTTTGTTTTCCTAGCTCAGGTCTATACTTGCTCCTGGTAGTTGCTTTTCCCCTTGTATATTACATGCTACTGCCTCAAATCCACCCTATCCATCCTTTTCTTCTATTTATTTTGCTTTGTATTATTCTTTTCTAATTTTTCTTTACTTTTCTTTTCTCCTTTTACCCAATTTTCCTTTCTGCCCCTTTTCTCTTCCTATAAAATATAATACTAATTTTGTTATCTTCAATTACTGATGTATCAACCTATTAAAGAACATTATTACAATTTTATATCTGGCTTAGGAGAATGGTGAACATTATCAACAAGTTTTTCTTTTTCCTAAGACTGAAACTTTGCTCTGAAGTGATTGTAGTAAATAGAGTTTAATGTCTTCTCTCCAAGTGATATTAACACTGGTATCAGCAGAGGATACATAATAAGTGAAGATATCAATATCTAGATATTTACCCAGTTCAAAGAGAAAGAAGCTCACTAAATAGTCTCTTGCATAAATAGAAAAATGGTCATATCCTAGAAATTGGGCTAAAGGAAAATATAAGGATGAACTTAGAAAATATAGAAAGTAAAAGATTCTGAGAAAGAACCAAACAGAATTCCTAGAAATGAAAGATACAATAAATTTAATTTCAAATTCAATGTAAACTATCACTAATAGATTAGACCACTTTGAAGACAGATTCTCAGGCCTCAAAGACAAAGTATATAATCTTGAAACTAAAGTTGATAACAGAGAAAAGATTTTGAGAGACCATGACCAGAATATTCAAGAAATCTGAGATGACATTAAGAGACCAAATCTAGAAATTATTGGCACAGAAGAACACTCTGACATACAAACTAAATGAACACACAAACTTTTCAATGAAATAATATTAGAAAAGTTTAATATTAGAAAGATAATAATATTATTTTAGATATTTTCTAATAATATTAGAAAAATAATAATATTCCAAATCTTAGGTAAGAGATGAAAATCCAAATACAAAGGGCCTCAAGAATCCCAAGTAGACAAGATCTAAAGAGATTCTCTCTAAGACACATTTTAATGAAAACATCTAAAATACAGAATAAGGATAACCACAAGAGAAAAATAGCAATTCACATTAGAGGTAAGTCAATTTGGATTTCAACTGATTTTTCAACCCAGACCCTAAGAGTCAGGAAGGCTTGTAATAATATACACTGAGTACTGAATTAAAATGTGTGTCAAACAAGATTATTATATCCATCAAAACTGTGTTGCAGAATTGAAAATTAAATAAAAACCTTTTGTGATAAGCAGAAACTAAAAGAATACATAACCGCCAACCTGCACTACAAATATATTAAATGAAATATTTCTTGGAGAACAAATGAAAAACAAAGATGAAGGCCATCAAAAGGATGAATTGCACTAATCTATTTCTTTTCTTTTTTTTTTTT